CCGGCCTGGACCGTCGGCGGCGGGATAAAGGCCTCGCCGGGCACCGCGCCTTGGTCGACTTGGCGAAAGTAGACATCCCAGCTCTTGTGCACGCTACATCATTGTCATGCTTAGTACCATGGCATGCGTATATATGCGGCCATGTACCTCGACGGGTCCGTGGTCCACGACCGGTACATCTCTTCGACGTAGACGTTGTTGGTGCCGTTGATGAACGACTCGGACGGGTGCGGCGCCGAGCTAAAGGCGCGCAGGAGCGGCGCCTTCATGGTCGTGCTCCGGCGGAGCACGCGCGAGGCCGCGGCAAGCTTGGACCATTGCGCCATCGTGTTGGTCGTCGGAGGCGCAAAGCAATTCTGGCCCTCAGACCCACCTGATCCGTGGCAGCGTTTCCACCAATCAAAGCGTTTTGTGCGATGACATTCAGCCAATCAGAGACGTTGGCCTAACCCCACAGAAGTGGCCCTCGGCGGCTGAGAAAAGCCAGCCTTTTTGTCCAATGGCCTTGCAGCAGTCGCCGGCAACTTCAACGCGAGCTGGTGATGTGGCGCCGCTTTTATACAAGGCCGCCAGCGATGCGCAAACTGCAGTCGCCGCGGCTCTATGGCCATGACGATGCATCGACGGGTGCCGAGCATCTGGTCTGATTTGCTCGGCGCTAACGCCGGCGCCCGCCCATCCCTTCCGCCTCGAGAGATGCGTGGGACACGGCCATTGGAGATGGCTCGGTTCAGATGTGGGTGTCCCTGGAATCCTTCGTCGCCCGTCGGTGGCGTCGACCCGGGTGCGATGATCGCCGCCGAAGCCGCCGCCACCACCCACTCGTCGGTCGTCTCTACAGGATTCTGTATGTTTGCAAGGTGCATGCAGTGTCTTCTTATGTGCAATCATCCCGGAGCCAGCTCGTCCTACTGCACCGGTCCGTACACGGGGTCGACGGCTTCGAGGAACCGGAGGTAGTGCACGTCCGGGTTGACTTGGCGTCCGTGGTGCACGGCGAACGCGCTCGTGAGCAAGCTCGTCTCGGCCGGCGAGAGCTCGATGCGCATGAGGTTGAGCACGGCAGCAAACTGCGTCTTGGTCACGTGCATGAGGAAGTTGTGGTCGTAGTCTTCAAAGTACGGCTTCATGTTGAGTCTACAAGCCACATGACAATGTTGTTCATCGTCATGGCACGAACCGGCGAAACTCGACCGCCGTTCGAATGCGGCTGAGAAGCGCGTCCAGCGCGGGCGACCTCTCCGGCGCCGGCACCTCGTCGCGGCAGTCCTACGACGTCTCATGAGCAATGCAGATACTACCAGACGAGACCAACGACGAGACCAACCTCGGTGTGCGACGTCGCCTCGATGGCTTGCAGAAAGGCGCGGTAGTCGATTTGGTCCGGTCGACTCGTCGACGCAAAGGCGGCGTTGAGCGTGTGCACGTCGTCGGCGTTGACAACGAGGCCGCAGCGGTTGATGGCGGTGTGAAACTTGGCGACGGTGATGTCGCCTGTGCGCAGTCGGTCGCTCTCGGCGAAGAACTGCTTGATGCGAACGCGCTTGGCGTCGACTTGGAGCCTACACCGAGTCGGTTCATGAGCTCAGAATCGATCGTGCATGTGTACCGCAGGTCCTTGAGCAGCGACGGAAGGCGCACCGCATGCGGCGTTACTTTCGACCGGCGAAGCGCCGCGGCGGCATTGCCGTCCATGTGGCTTCCGGCCGCGAGCTGCAGTCGGTACTCGCGCGCCCCTAAAAATGGTGTCGACGTTCCTGTTTTGGTAAACAAAGGAGGGTGGTCGAGTACCTGGGACGCGCGTCGCACCGCCTTGGAGCTGCGAGAGCGCGTGCAAAAACGCTCGGTAGTTGACGTCGCACGTCGAGCTCACGCCCGGCATCGGTGCGTTCCCGCGCTCGGAAAACTTGATGCAGAGGGCGCGGCACGTCGGCGCGTCGGCCGGCAGCAGCTGGAAGACCGAGAGCACGCGCTCAAACTTGGTGTGCGAGATGAAGCCTTGGTTGGCCAAGTCAAAGTCCTCGAACGACGGCTTGATGTCGAGGCGCTTGTTGAGCATGCGCGACAGCATCGTCTGGAGCGACGCCATGACGATGGCTTCGTCCCGCGCACTGAGCGCCTACAACACTTTTGCCGATTTCAATCGGAGTACGCAGAGGCCAACCGTGTCGGTGATTGCATCGACCTGCTCGGCGGCTTCGATCGCGTGCGGAATGTCCTTTGTCGGCTCGCGCTCGAGGCTACATAGTGTGTCTTTAGATCGATCATAAATTGTCATATTACCCTTTGACGGTAAAGACAGCTTCGACTTCATCGACAAAGCGCGTCCACGCCACCATCGACGCGCCCTACGTCATCGCTCGCATTCGTAAAATGCACAATATTGGTTGAACCTCGACGTCGACTTCGTTCTGGTACGGAAACGCCGATGCGAGCAAGTCGAGGTCCTCGGGCGAGAGGATGAAACCCGCGGCGTGCAAGCCACCGCCATATTGCGCCCTGATGATCCGTTTAAACACGTTGGTACAGGAGGCATAGGGGCTGTACCGCGTGATTTTACCCTTGCGGAGGCGGTCAAAATCGCGAAAATACTCCTCGACACGAAGGCGGTCGCGCTTGGCTTTCTGTTTGATGTAGCGCAACAACATCGGCAGCGTCCGCTGCACATTGGCCTCGGACGGGGCGTCGTCCGTGACCTTGGGCATGCCGCCGCGCTTGACAGGCTCGCTTGACGCGGGCCGCTGCATCGATTCGTCGTATCCGTCCAAGTCGAGGCAGAACGTCTTGTAGTTGACGAACGCCTTGTTGTCAAAGGCGAGCTGCGCGACGGGCGCCGAGTTGAGGCGCGTGCTCGCATACCGCTTCAGCACCACATGCTTCTCGGCCGGCGACACGACGTGCAAGTTGAAGAGCGCCAAGACCTACGCGCGTGCCACGTCATTCTCCACCAACTTCAACTTGTTGAAAAAAATGCAACAACAAAAAATACCCGCGCAAACTGTTCGCACGTGACGCACTCGGTCTTGCCGCGGTCAAAGTCGGTGAACGCAGGCTTGAGCGCAATGCGGCGCGTCGTGACGCTAAAGCTCAGGCGCCGCATGAGGGCGTGCCAGTCGACGAGCTCAGTGTCGGAGAGCACGCCGCGGACGCCGCGGGAGCAGGCGGCCGACGGCAGCGTGGGCACGTCGACGCTGAGCGAGTCCCGGTCGTCGTCGTTGTTTTCGAGCTCGTTGGCTTCGTCGTGCGTTTCGCCGAGCGTAATGCTCTTGCAGAAAGCAATGTAGTCGACCTTGCGCTCGTGGCTCACGTCGACGATACCGACCGCGTACTTGGCGACAAGGACGTCCAAGTCGCTCTGCGTGAGCGCGCCAAAGCACACCTACACACGCTTCTGAACGCTATTTTCTAGATGATGATGTCGAGGTACTTTGACTGCGCGCATGAACTGAGCCTCCGTGCACTTGCCCGACCGCATCCGGTCGTAGTCGGTAAAGAAGTTCTTGACGCGGATTCGATCCCGGGCCGCAATCTCCCGCAGCGGGCCTTCGATCGCGTCGGCTTCGGTGCAACCGTACTGGTTGCCGCCCCGGCGCTTGGCCCGCGGCGACGCATTCACACCATTGTTGCTGTACGCAGGAAAGACACCGTCGGTCAAATCGTGGTGCAGCAGCTTGTAGTTGACGTCGAGGCCGGCGCCGTAGACCTTGATGAGTACGCGGAGCTCACTCGGGTCGACGTCGCCGAGGATGCCAAAGAGGTCCCGCGTAAAGCGCGCCTGCGTCACAAACCCCGAGTTGTTTTTGTCGAAATCGTGAAACACATCTTTGAGCACAATGCCCTACATATCGACGTTCGATGCGTCGTGTTTGCCACATTGATACAGACCTTGATGCGCACGGCGCGGGCGAGCTGCTCCGTTATCGAGCGCAGCGCGGCCACTTCGCTCTCGCTCGTCGGCAGCTGCTTGGTGAACGCACCGGTTTGTGTCGGGCGCACCGTCTCGAGCGAGAGTTTGGTTTTAAACTTCTTTTCGAGGTCCTTGGCCGTGCAGCTCTTGTCGATGAGGTCGCAGAACCGGCGGTAGTCGACGAGCCGCGGTGCGTCTGGCACGCGGTACTTTTGCAGTAGCAACTCGACTTCGGCGCGGCTCAGCCGAACGCCGCTAGCGTCGAGCGCACGCGCAAACTGGTCGGTTGTCACCTTCTTGGTCTTGTGCACGTCGAAGGTTTTCATAAACTCTTCGAGGCGGATGCGCCGCTGGCTGCACTCGTGCCGGAGCCGGGCCTTGAGCGCCCGGTACTCGGCCTTGGACATCTCGGGCCGTTGGAAAAATGGAGCGAAACGGTCGACGCTTCATTTGACCGCGACGGATATTAACAGACCGCCTTTCTCGTGCAAGCAGCCCAATGCGACGTTGGCGTCCGAAAACGATACTAGAACCGAGTTGATAGAGTAGGTTGTTGTTGATGGCGTGCATTAGTCGACCGGGTTAGAGGCATCGCTTCGTCGGTTGCGGCACCATCAAGTGGGCAACGTCACGATCGACTGCATGCGCAGTTGGATAGCCCGTGCGTGGACAGCTAGTCGCTGTCTGGCGGTGTCCGAGTAGCTATCAGTCTTGCTCGGCCTGCACATCTACTCTGGCTAATTTGCCGCGCGGCAAATGTGCGAAAAGGCGTCGGCAACCAGCCGTCAGTGCAAGTGCGTGCCCAGGTACCTTGCCTTACCGAGGCGATTCATGCAGCAATTGATGTGCTAAGCGACGCATCAATTGCTGCATGAATCGCCTCAATTGATGTGTCGCTTAGCTCCCATACAACCGATGCGGCGCGTGTTGCGCTTACACTCCGAAGCGCTTGTCATCGTTATCCGGACGACCGGATATTCGTATCAAAGATCCCAAAAAACAGGCAGGACAATGATGAGCTCCGCCCGCGACGCCACTGCTGCTACCAACACTGCTACAGCCCAGCGCACAGCACGCGCCGGACGCGCGCTCTGCAGCGCTTTTGGCCCACTGCCAAGCGGGCGCGACAACGACGACGACGCCATAGGCCCGCATGAACCTCGACGTCGACATGGGCTACGGCCACGAGATCGATGACGGCGTGGTCGATGGTCCCGCGGCCGCAGTCGCCTCGCACGACCATGGCAGCGCCGGGCTTTCGACATTTTGCGCCTTTTTGGATGACGAAAACGCCATGGGCAGCGCTCCTACGACACCAAGGCGAGCAAGGAACCGTGCTCTATGTGACATACTACAGGAATACCGCACATAATGTGCAGTGCTTTCTGATCTGTAGTATGTTTGATAGCGGCACGGAGACGTATCGCCTGCACACGCGCACCAATGGCCAGTGCTCGGTGCCGTTTACGGTCGTCTTGCCGCCCGTGCTTGCATTCGGCTCACTGCGCGCGGTGGCTGCCACCGCGTAAGCGCTGCTGGAGACCTACGTGGGCCTCGATGTCGACATGGGTAACGGCAACATCGTCGCGACGGCCAGCAGCGCGGCCACGTCGCCCGAGGCCGCTTCCCGGACTGTGCTATATCGTCATTGTGTCGTCCGGGTTTTCCGCTGGACAAATGATACCACCTCCCATGCCGGACGAAGACAAGTCATCGGCCGGCTCGCGACGATCTCATGGCACACTTCAGCTCGTGTTGCTTGGAAGGATTGCGTCTCTGGGTGCCATGTGCGCAAAAGGCGGCGAAACAAACACATGTACTAACATGGAAAGAATCGCCTGATACGACGGCTTGGTTACTGAAACAATCAATCGCACCGTGCTGCGAGTGTTGGTGGCCGAGTAAATATGGTCTGATGTCGGGTATTGGAACTCGATTTGGTCGCACCTACGCACCGGTCGCGGCCGTTGTGTTGAAGCGTGTGCCAGTTTGGTCCATTGCCGTGGCCGGCATCGCGCACGGCTGGCGCCATGCTGTCGTTCGGTATAAAGAACGCAGTGATGCGGCGAGGCGCAATGGCTCTAGATGGCACACGGAGCCATCGTGGCGTCGGTCGAGATGTCCGGCAACGTTGCCCATGGGCAGCGCAGCGTCGTTGTCGTCGTCCTTGAATGATGCCAAGATGCGCCAAAGCATGGAACTTGAGCCGGTGGTGGTGCGCGCCATGGTGATCTCGGCGTCGGCGGCAGCCGCGGTGCTGTAGCGGCTCATCCTGGTGTCCAGCTCGCTGTTTGACTATTGAAACCCAGCGCTTTTTTGAATTATCCAGATCGGTCTTTCTACAGTGTATATCCACGCATCCGATTCGCCAATATGATGGCGGGCGATCATGCATTTAAGCCAATCGGAACAGAGGACCCGCGCGACTCGCTCGCGTTTCGACCAATGGCGCGCATATCTTTAAATACTGACCGTTGATTGGTGGCATTGCAAGCGTCGTTGCTCACTAGCATTTCCCACGTCATGAGGCCCATCATCAGGTCGCAGAGGAGCCATTTCGTACGATTTCATGGGTCGATTGCAGTTTTCTGGCGCGAAATGACGGCTGTATTTCGAGGAGTGAAGACAACTAGCACATTGTACTAGAAGACTCGACAACCCGGCCCAGAAATCGATCAAGCCGATGACATTCGGCTTCCGCCATCATGGGCTGGGAAAGGACAACCCCTCCAGGTACTGATGCAAATAGAATCGAGAAAAGGAACTGGGGCTAGGACAACTCTCACTGATTGGAAATGTCTAGACGAATCTGTTGATGAATTAAATAGATCGACATTTATGGGGCACTAACACTACAATGGGAATCAAACACACGGATCAAGCTCACTTCGCCGTCGTGCTTTAGCCGGAAGAGGACGTGGATGATAGATGATTCTTGAGGCGCTTTGCAGTCGAATGCATCGTTCATCCGCGCTTTCCTCCCAGGGGACCCTTCCCGCCCTTGGAATTATCTAAAAGAAGTAAATATGAGCACATTTGAACCGCAAAGAAAGCATGCTGTAGTGATATGTGAGCTTACTTTAGCGAATTGGTCAAGTTCATGGATACTCGAGGCCACGTGCGGGCATAGCTTCTTCAAGCACCCACGAAAGATACGCGTTGGTCGGCCTGTTGATTCCAAATGCTGAGTATCAAGAGCCACCTTGGTGCACCGATTGGACTTTCGAGCGCAGTCTGCTTGCGGTTTTGGGTTCGTTCTGACGACGTCGAGGACCTCGACCGTGGTGTCTATATATATGAGCGTGTTTCGCGTTATCTTCGTTGTTGCAACGAGTTCTCATACGTAGAGACTAGCAATCTCCTTGTTTTGTTTTGTTTTATTTTGGTGTCTGCGAGACCAAACACAAACTGGGTAGTCACAGGCAGACGCCACTCAGCACCAAGAGTAGGTGAGGCGAGCCTTGCTTGACCTGGGCCATCTTCGCGTTTGGCAGCCTGTCGCGCAGAGTCTGCGCTATCAGGAGGTGTGGCTCCTCGCGACCATCGAGATGCAGTACGGCACGCTGCGCCACCAAGTGTCGTCGGGTGACGCCATCCCGAGCACCCACTAGGCCCTACGTAGATAATTCATGTAACTACGCATCATCATGCGGATGGATATATGATGTATCGACTACGCCCAGGACTTGATGTGGCGCGGGCTTTCTAGCAGCAGCGTGATGTAGCAAATCTGGAGCAGGACGCAGGTGATGTGTACACAAGCGACGCGAGCGTCCCGGCGAGCGAGACGCGATCGTTCGTGCTCTTTTCCGCTACCCATGGCCGCATGGTTAGAGGAAGGAACGAGGACGGTGGTGAAAGTGAGGCTTGTGAGAGCATCAAGATCCATACCATCCGACCCTGAACCCCAAGACATCGACCCAATCAAAGAAACAAATCCAACGCGCCAAAACGAAAACAAATTTAACGCGCTAAAACAAAAACAAATGCATCCAGCCAGCCGCTCAGCTCCATGCCTAAAGAAGAAAAATAAGCCATATGCCCAGGGTCAAAGCAGAAAACACTTTCATGTACGACGACGACCGGTCAAGACGCCAACACAAAACAACTCGACCAGAGTCGGCACCACGAGTATTCAACCTACATCAACATCAGACCACCCGACATTTCGCGTCGGTCGCCAAGCCAACGACTTTTATCAGCCCGCGAGTTCAAGTGAGCACCCCCATGGACCTTTGAGTGCTGCAGCTCCAGGTCGGCCCACGGGTGATCCAAGTGGAGCTACGCAACACGGGTCTGGCTTCCGACCGCGGAAGCGCACGACGTGGCCCTGCGGTGCATCGATTGGTTTCCCCACTCATGCTCTGCTGAGGCTTGCGTCTCATGTTATTTGAAGTCCTGAAGTCTCTTTAAGCGATCTAGCTGCGGCCTCGCTTGACGAGAACCGATATGGCAGACACCACTCATCGTTCTCCTTTCACGTCTAATGCTAGCGCCACTGATTCGCATGCTTGCGCGTGTTCTGGGGGTGCGTCTTGGTGGCTTCGGTCGCGACCGCGGCTTCGTTGATGAGCCACTCAAAGCCGTTGGTAGCGCTGATCTCCGGGTTTAAAAACGTGCGTCGGGCGTCGACCGTATCGTTGACGATCGCGAGCTCGAGCACGTCGCGGAGGAGGCGACTCTTCATGTTGCGGTCTTCGATGGTCGTCGTCGAGAGCGACGGGGACGCGTTGACCTCGACGAGCCATGGCTTGAGGTCGCTGTCGATGATGATGTCGTAGCCGTAGCACTCGAAGCTATGCACGTCGTTGATGATGACGTTCTGGACGGCCTTGAGCGAGTGCAGCATAATGTTGTGGATCGCCGAGAGCATCGTGTCGGCCGCGCCCTGTATCAACTTCTGTTGAAACCTCGATACAAGACTCGACGTACGCGGCCGCGCGTGGCTTCGACGTACAGACGCAGATTGTAGATGTTCCACTTGCCGCCGTGCTTGCTGTTGTAGTCTTCGTTGTGCTTTTGAACCGCAACGTTGGTCAGATGCATGAACGGATTGTCAATGTCGTCGAGGTCCGTCGAGTACTTGACGTTGCAAAAGCGCGCAAAGCCTTCACTGTACACAAACGCCTAGCATATTGTCTTGCGGCTTCGAGACAATAATCACAAGACAATATTTAATGCCTACCTGCAGCGGCCGGTACGAAATCACGAGCACATACATGCGCAAATCAAACTTCTTGCCGCCAATCAAGAGCGGCTGCTCAATGTAGCGCGAGACGACGTAGCCTTCGACCGACTTGGCGGTCGCCCACTTTTTCGTCTGCGAGAGCTTGTTGATGAGGAAGATGCCTTTGCCCTGCGCCTTGGACGTCGGCTTCATGATCCACATGACGTTGGGGTTGCGTCGAAACTCCTAATTTGGATTGATTTTGAGTTTGAGTTTGCATGTTTAAGAGACCTCGACAAAAAGCGAGTAGTCGGCCGGTAGCGTGTACGTGACGGGAATAAAATCGAGCTTCTCGGCAAGGCTCGGGTCCTTCTCGGCCTCCTTCTTGTACCTGCAATCGCTTTGGAAATCAAAGTCATGTGATGATCCAAGTACCGCTTGAGGTTCTTGACCATGAGGTCTTTGCGCGTGAGCTCGTAATGGTTGGGAAAGTGGTTGACGTACTGCCCGTCGCCGAGGCGGATGCCACTCTCGGGGTTGAACATGCTCTTGATGCTCACCTTGTTGGCCCAGTAGACGTTCCAGTCGTTCCCGTCCGTGCGCTGCCAGCCCCGGCGCTCAAAGTTCCAGACCACCACGTGCTTCTCCGAGTCGACCTTCCACTTGAACTTGGTGCTGCTTCGCTGGTTGCTCATGGCCGCTGCCTGTCTACTGCGCCGCTTCGAAAGATCCACTATCCATGAAAGTATCAAGTTTGTATCAATTGGACCGCAGTCCATATTTATGACACGAACGATGGTAGTAGAATTAGTACAACAACGACACTAGTAAGCAAAAGGGGGTGATGGCAGGGTGGGTCGACCTACGACGGGCCATCGGGCTCTTTCTTTTCGTCGTCTTTCGAGGATTTCTGCCGCGCACTCGCGCGCTGCTGGCGCAGTCGGCGACGCATCGTCGAGTAGAAGCGATTCTTGACGGCATTGTCCGTGCGGCCCGGCAAAAGCCGCGCAATGTCGGCCCAGTGGTTCCCGATTCGGTCGCGCGTCTTGAAGATCAAGTCGTCTTCCTCCTCGGTCCACGCCTCCTTGTTGACGCTCGGGCTCAAGTGGTTGACCCATCGCTCGCGGCACTGCTTTCCGCACCGGCCCGGCAAGAGGAGCGAGATGGCCGACCAGTCGCTCGCGCCCGACGTCTGAACCGCGATGGCCAGCTCCTGGTCTTCGAGCGCCGACCACGGGCGCTTCCCGAGCTTGTTGCTAAACTTGCCGCGCTTCCGCGG